ATTATATTAAATAAATTTATTTTTATAGGTAGTAACTTATAATTTATAAATAATATCTATATATAGTATGTCTCAGAAGTCCCGTGCTATCCTTATAATATCTGGGTGGTATATCAATATTTTTGAATGTAGTTTTTTAGAGATAAATTATTACACAAATTACAATTTAATGCCATTAATAAAAAAAAAAAATTAAATTTTTGTTCAATCAGTTTTATATTCTACTATTATTCGAGACCAAAAAAATTTATTTTTTGATGAGAAATAAGTGTTAGAGAAAATTTTAAATATTCAAAATTTCCTTTCACAAAAATATTTTTTATATTATTATCAATCTATAATTAAATTTACATAAAGTTTGAATAAAAAAAAAAAGTTTTATAGGGCTTTTTAGGAAAATTTTAGAAAAAATATTGAGATTTTAATTATGAATTATGCATTTGAGAAATACATTTCTATCAGTAATCTATTATCTTTAGATAAATCCCTATCAATAATCTATTATCTTTATCTAGATAATAGTTTATTTATTCCCAACACTGGTTATAATTCAAGCTTTCTCTTTCCTGGTATAATGACTTTAAATTCTTCAATCACATCCTCTATGTCAATTTCAGTAGAAATGTGTTGTTCTATTAATATCAACATTAATCCATAATCATCCAGGCGCTTTTTGGTCATCATTGACATTAACTTTGATTTAACGAGTCAATTTTGAAAATGCTCTTTAACAAGAGCAACTTGTAACGGGAATGGTAACAAAAAATTTATGGATTTATAAAAATCTGAAAAAATGTTTGAACGTCCACTATTTACTAACTATTTTGAAATTTTAATTTTAGATGAACCGCATATAGATTCTATTTCTGGTATATTTATAAGTAGTTTAATTTCTGTATGTATATTTTTTAAATTAAATACTTCTGACAATATTTTAATGTCTGCGTTATCTGTTTGAAGTTTTAATATTTTTCCCATAGATGCAATTAAATTCAATGTTTCTTGTGAAAAAACGTTCATCAATTTCTCGAATTATTTCATCTAACATTGGATAAAAAGTAAAATATCTTCTTTCTTTAATTTTACTATCAACAGTATAGTGTGTAGAATTGCCATCAATTTTTCTAGGAAATTTTCTTTTTTTTAACTTTAGGTATAAGAGATAAGATTTTTTTGACAAACACTGAAAACTTTATTGTGAATAACAATCATCAGATCTCAATTTACTGAAGTTTTCTCTAAGAGACATCACTAGAGATATTGCAGATAACAAATCTCAGTTTGATGATTGTAAATTAGCACTCACTTTTCGCACTAAGGGGTTATAACACCTTAACTCCCCCCCCCTGCGTGCGCCACTGAACTAATGAACTATTCATAGAAATGAACTAAACTTTTCATTTCTAATAGACTTTATAATATAGAACAGTGATTCTCAACCACCGGTCCTCGATAAAAAAGATGCCGGTCCGTATTGTGTTGTTATCTATTTTTAGTGAAAATTTTTTTTTCGAAACCCTAAGTGGTCCGTAGTCCTACTTAAATCTAGATCCTATTTTCTAAGTGGTCCGCAAAAACAAAAATGTTGAGAACCACTGCTATAAAGTATGTGAAAAGACGAAATAGTTGCGCAATAAAGTCGCCTATGCGCGATCGCTCTAATGCAGTGTTTCCCAAACTCTTGTTTGGGCTGGTCAGCTAATTAATATTTTTCCTGATTTGAAGTATTGTGAATAGTTAATCTTGAGCGCACGTCAGTGCAAATAATATTCATCAAGCTAAATCCACGATTGCATTCCGTTGTAAAATATGGAATTATTTTTATAAAACTATTTATTTCATTAAGTTTTTTAATTAAATTGGTTTTTTTCATCGATTAAGCCCCTCAGCATAAGAGTTGGTTATCGTTTTATCGATATGCGAACCAGGGGCGTCATTTGGGGGGGGACAGATTATGGAAAATGCCCCACTCTAAGAAATTTTAAAAAGTCAGCAATTCTTTGTCCGATGATCAAATGCTAAAATCAGTAAATAGTAATTTTTTATTTATTATGTTGTACTCCGAAATATTCTTTTTAAATACACGTTCACGGTTTATTAAAAGTTGGGAAGCACTGGCTCCTCCCAATTTTATGACAATCGTTATTACGCGTACCTTATAAACTTTATTTTTGGTATATGATATATTTCTATACATGTGATCTTTATAAAACAGTTTTCGTGATATCGATACCATAAAAATTGAGCTCATAATCTATAAAAAACTGTTAAAATCGTTCCTATTACTCCAAACTACGGTAGGTACATTATATTTGAAATACAATTTTATGTTATTATAAATAAGTTCTGTAAAGTATTAAATACATAAAATCATAAGTATTTATTTAATTAGATTTATATTATTATTCCATTAAACCTATTGATAGGTAACTTATAGCCTATAGGATAAGTAAATTAATTAATGTTTTACTATCTTTAATGTTATTATTTAATTGGATAAATTGAAATGTTTCATGTTCTTTGTTTATCATCATGATATCATTATTCATTACTAATCCTTACACGTTTTATTCCGAAAAAATATTTTATTGATAGTCTATCGTATGGGCGTATTTTAAGGAGGGCGAAGGGACGATCGTTCCCCCCTGAATCCGTATTTAAGGAATTGATTATACTTGAGATACACTATTCAAATTTGTTTTAATGTGGATCATTTTATAAAGAAATCAAATTAAGCGTAGCTGTAAATACAGAATCGTGCTTTTTGTCGACTCCATACTTAGTGAAAATCAAATAAAATACCTATATGCGTAACTTTCAAAACACAGATAGGTGTTAAAAATAACTACCCAAAAGTTGATTCTAAGGGGATCTGACATAAGATAAAAAAAAAAGAAACAAAAATATTAAGGAGTCACCTGATTTAAATATTACCAAAAATTTTACTTGTACATTTTGAGCCTGAATTAAAGAAAAACTTTGAGTCCCCCCCCCCTAGATGTAAGTCTAAATACGCCCTAGTCTATAGTCCATAAATATTAAATATTTAAATACATAGGTAACCATAATTTTTTTAAATATTATGAAGTCGGCAAATTTAATCAGTTGCCCTACCCTTTTAATAGTTGAAATGACGCCCCTGATGTGAATACCCAAACGTGTTACGATAAGCTGGACGTCGATGTATATAACTATACTCGATGCACTTATATATGAGTATAGAATCATTTGTAAATATTATTATAATTATTTTATTTTTTTTTTTTTTTTTGTTTGTAATTCAGCTACTACTACTATTTAGCACTTGATTAAATTAAATAAAATATATTTTTTTTCGTTTAAAACACAACAAAGATTTAAGAATTTCATTTAAAGACTACACATAGGTGAATCCCACGGGTATTTCAGCTAGTAATAATATATTTAATAACATAAAAATAATTTGTATTGACTACAATTATAACTAGGATTCAAATACATATTTTTTTTCTAATGTTCCAATTTAATATGGGTCTGTATACAAATTTGATTCATGTTTTACTTAATAAAATCATATTTTTATTTTGCATACTTTTGCATATTTTATGCTTTTATATTTTAAATGCATATTTTTGGGATTTTAAGAATATAAATGCATGTGCAAGTTCATAATCAATTCGGTTAATCTTATCATTCTCGATACTTTTTGATTAGACTTCGTATTGTTCTATTTTTATATGATGTGTTAAACAGAATAACTTCTATAATACCTATAGTATAGCGTAATATAACAATATTATGGGATAATTATAAGATATTTGAAATCTGTCAACTATTTGTTTTGTATATAATTACCAATATGCATTTTTTCTTAAGGTCTAACAGTTTTGTTTTGGGAACATAAGCCCCCGAAAATAATCAGTGGACACAGATATTTTGCGTTAATTTCTAAAATAAACTTGAAGCCGCAAGTTGTGCATGTGCCTACCTTGCAGGCGTATTTTGCAAATGTGAGTACACTCAGAACCGGATTGCTCTGATATGTACTACCTGATTGGCACTACCCTTGTTTAGTTGACATTTTGAAATTAATTGTGAAATCAATTTTATAAGGCTTGTTATATTATTCTTAAAATAATGTAAAATCTTTATGTAACTTATTATGCAACTCAATATTTAATTATAAATGTAATTTTAAAACTATATTTAAATTTACTGATTCTGTGTATTAGTTATATGACTTAATAATTTAAATATGTAATGATTGTGTACTTAATCTCAATAAACTATTACAAATAAAAGATAAAAAATAAAAATGTAATATAAAAATATATATTTTTGTTAACAATCTTAATAATACCTACATTAAATAAAGCAGTGTTTCCCAACTTCTTTTACCCGAGAAACCTTTGCAGGAGCTTAAACGTTTTGTGGAACCCAATATTTTTTCTATAATATTAATACAGATATATGTATTGTACACTTGAATGAGTGGGTTATCGGACACTTCCGGCACAAGAGTGTCATTAATATAAAAAAAACAAGACGGCTTTAACATTTTATTTTGTTTGTTATCTACTATTACAATATTATAAATGTACCTACATATCAAAGCTTAAAATGCAATATTTGCCTCTCATTACTTCAAAGATAGATTCAATGAGAAGATTGGAATCATTACATAGTGTTTTTTCATAACTGTTTTTAAATCTGAAGTTATTCCTGAAAGTTGGATTTGTAAGTTCGGAGCGGCATTTACTTGATTTCGAAACTTAGTCTTTGTATACGCCGAAAAGCTACAAACTACAAACCTCACATCGGGAAATGTTTCAATTCCAGTTCTATGTTGAGTTCTATGTTCAAATCATAGTTCAAATCAAAATATTGCTAATTAATTTATATTTTCCCAAATTTCTCACAGAACCCTTCGCGCAAACTCACGGAACCCTTAGGTTCCGCGGAACACTAGTTGGGAAACACTGAAATAAAGTATAGTAAATAAATAATCTTTTATTTTACTATAGTATATATTTAATAATTTATAAATAAATTTTAAATAATTTAAAATTTAATATCGTAAATGTTTAGGCACATACATGTATTAGTATAACATTTTTTAAGTTATACTACTTTTTTCTTCTTCTTCGTCATCAACTTTATCATTGTTTTCTTCTACAATCGATTTCTAGTCAAGCATAATTTAAAAGTTAATTTATTACAAACAAAAAATATTTCATAAAATAATTAATAATTATAGCAGAATTAGTAACTTGAGTTTTCTAATTAAAATATGGTAATAATAATAGTAATATTACAATAGGTAAAACTTTAATACATATTATAGATGTATAACAAAATAAAATATAAATAAAAAATAAATATCCATGAGAGGTTCACAAATTTTAATGAAAAAATCTTTTTTTTAAACAACTTTCCTAGTAAGACTATTAGGAGCTGGATAATAAAGGTTTTTAATAGAATACTTTGAAAAAAACTTTGAATGGGCGTTGCAATATTTTGAAATTAAAATATGTCTGAATGAATTTGTAGGATTAAGATCAATAAATTATAAATAAAAGTAACTAAATAAATTATATAATGTAAAATCATTATAACATATTATAACATTTTCAAGTCAGAAATTGCTCATGCTTTGTTACAATTCGGAAAAGTTGTAAGTCCAAAGAGGGGAAGACCATTAGTCAATGCAACATCAATTAAAAAAAAAAAAGAATATTTACTCCAAGGCCCACTGATGATGTGAGATATGATGTAACTGGCCATTGGCCTATTGTAGCTTCAAAAAAAACAAAGATGCAAATACTGCTTTAACAGCTATACTTTTATAGTGTATAGTCTTTTATAGTAAATGCAAATTAAACTTTTGTCTTATTTAAAAAAAAATTGTTTTTTTGTTTATCATAATAAATAATTTTTAATTATTATATTCATAATCATAATATAGACTGATTAAACAGACCATAATTTTAGTATACTTAGTTTTTAATTCTATTGTTAATTTTTATGTAAATTACTATATGTTAACAGTTTTAAATTTAAATTTTTAATTTGTTTTAAATGTAAATTTTAATTTTGTTGTAAATGTACACTACAAATTTTTAGTGTAATACTATATGCTATATGTAATAGTGTATATTTGGAGAAAAAAAATGTTGCCATTTCCCAATGATAATTGTAAGCATCATGTCTGTAAAACTTAGATAAATTCATAAAAATTAAACAAACTATTCAGTCAAAAAAATTTTTTTCCAAAAATTATTAAATTGAGCCTGAAAGGATTAAGTTAGAATTCATTGCTCTCAACTCATGGTATTTTTTGCTTGGAGATCTATTTTGTGGATTATGTCTAAAATAAAATTGAATCTTTGCTGTTCTACTACTGAAACTAGAAGCTTAAAAGTTTACATTAAACTAGGCATAAAAAAATCAATTCAGAATGTGATTTAACAGTGTTATTCATATGTTTTTAAGATAGCAGTAATGGTTAAGTATAAAAATAATTATATAAAGACATACAATCCTAAAAATTAGTAAAATTATTTATATACCATCTTGAAAATATTTTATGCATATAATAATACATATAAATTATAAATTTTGCTGAAAAAAAAACAATATTATGATTAAGTAAATAGTACCTATATAAATGTATATTTACCTCTTTATGAACTGTAGAATGTTGATAAAATACCATACTGATTCCTGCATGCCAACATTGTTTTAATACTGGATCTACAAGCCATCGTTTGTCTGCACAATGATGCCAACAAGATAAATCGTTTGTACAATCACTATCTACTGGTGGTATTTTTGTTTGAATATTATTAACACAACGTATACATTTTATTCTACAAAAGAAAAATACAAAATTGAAACTCAATTAATGTCTACATAATTCTTTATCTATGCCACTACATTTATTTAAAATATGTTTTAAATTTTAAACTTGTTTCTTTTACTTGATAAATAATTATAATAGTATACTTATTTTGTACATAAAAAACTGGTTTAATATTTAATTAAAAAACAAAAATATTATGATCTAATATAATTCATGAAACACTATGCAATTTATGAATTCGTAATTATATTTTACTGTAAAAACACATTTGAAACTATAATTGTGTTGTTATATTAAACTTGATTGAATAATTTTCTCTTAACAAATTGAAAATTGATTTTATACAAATACACTTAATTACTATTAACTATTAAATATTTTAGTATTTTAGTATAATATACTATATATTATATATAATTATATTAGTAAATAAGAGATAAGCTGAGTTCTCTATTCCAATAAGTGCCATAATAGGCCAGGATAAATACATTTCTACATGCACATAGCTAAATGTATCACATGTACATAGAGTGTGCATTATTTTATAGATTAAGCACAAGTAATATACACAATCATGCTCACCATACATATTGCTATGGTCTTTGAATGCTATTATTAATTGATATTTTTATTATTCAATATTAAGATGACTATATAAATCTATTTAGAAAAAACACAGTTAGGATGGATTAAATTTATTAATTATAAAATTATTTGGTGTACAGATGTATATTATATACTCCTATTTTTAAAACCAATTAAAATCTAATTGCATATAATAGATGTAAATACTTCAGTGCATGTTTGCTATATTTTGGACCAAATACATAATTATTATTATGATTACTTTATGAGTTTATGATAATAATTTTAACTCAATGGATTATACAATAATTTAATGAGTATATCATAATAGTAACTTTTATGAAACTGTTAAATTACTTGTCATGAGTATCACTAATAGTATCTTGCCGAAGATTAAATAATGTACGTAGTTCTGAAACAGTGAAATGTCTAGCAACATCTTCTTCACAGTCAACTACACTAGAACTAAGAGCTTTTTTGTGTGCTTGTCTTTGCATAATTTTTTCTTCTATTGAACCGGTCTAAAGAACATAGATAAGAATAAATTTGAAATAATTAATTACATAATTATTAAATTCTAAAACTTGCCGCTAAAAATCGATACACAAAACATGGTTTTTTTTGGCCATCTCTCCATACTCTAGCCATTGCTTGATCATCATTAGCTGGATTCCAATCTGGATCAAACATTACTAACCTATTTGCACCAATCAAATTTAAACCACACCCTCCAGCTTTTGAACTCAACATAAACAAAAATGTACCACTAGTTGGGCTATTAATATCATCTACAGCCTAAATAAAATGCAAAAATGTATTTAGCAAAATCAATTTTATAATCTATTTATAATCAGTTGTTTACCTATATTTGTGGAAGGTTCAATAAAAACAGTTTACCTAAATATTACCACTTAGAATTAAATTTAAAACACTTGTATTTTAACTTTTAAGTTATTTTTGGAACTATAAATCATTAAGTATTTAATAAGTGAAAGTATTTAGTTTAAATTTAATAAAGCAATTTTTTTTTTTTTAACAATGAATTAAAAAAGGTAATTAATAAAGGCAATTTTTAAAACTTTGATCATAATTAACTATATGTTATTAATTGTTTTAAAATATAATCTTTGATACATACTTTTGCTCTTTTTTTCGCAGTCATAGATCCATCTAATCTAACAAATGAATAGTTTCGTAATTGGGCAAGTCTTTCAAATAATTCTAATGTTTGAGTATAATTAGAAATTAAAACAACACGATCAGTGGTAGTTGTTTTTATAACAGCTAACATTGTGTCAAGTACCATTAATTTAGATGATAACTCAATTATAAGTTTTTTTCTAAAAAAATAAAATTTGAAAAGTCATTCACTTATGTCCATTTTTCAATCAAAAAATTAATATCATTATATAACTAATAATCTAAAATTACTTAGAATGAGCTTCAATATATGACAGAGGTAGCAAATGTTTAGAATTTTCAAATCCATCAGATCCAGACATAATTTTATCAATAATAAGGTCCGGATGAGCACATAATTTTTTAAGTAATGTAATAGCAGCTAATGCATTACTAGTAACTTTTCCATCATTGCCTATAAATATGTAAACAATATATTATAAATATAATAAATAGAAAATAATTAGTATACTTTTTATTGATTTTGTAACCATATCAGATTTGAGAAGATGTAGATATAAATCAGTTTGCAAAGAAGTCAATTTTATGCATACAACATGCTCAGTTTTAACAGGCAAATATTTAGCAAGTAATGCTGATGTACGCCTTATTAAACATCTATTAACTAGTGTAATCAATTGTTCTAAACGTTCTGCAGCTTTTTTGCGTTCTGAATCTGTTGCACAAGAATCTTGACCTCGCACAATAGGAGTTTCATATTGACGACGAAATTCTTGGGCAGTTCCTAAAATACCTTCATTAACAAAATGAACAAGACTGAAATACTCAAGTAAATCATTTTGAATTGGTGTGCCTGATAATAAAACTCTTCGTTTTGCTTTTAAAGCCATTAATGATCGGTAAGTTTGGTTTTCACAATTTTTTAACCTATGTCCCTAAATAATTACATATATTACTGTGTTTAGTTGACATATATCTCACAAAAAAATAATATTTAAATAATTATTAAACAAAAAACAAAAACTTATTTACTTCGTCACATAAAACAAGACCAATATCTTCTGCATTTTGTAATAAACTTGCATGACTACGAAAAGTTTCATATGATATAACTAATATTGGATCAACAGTTCGGCGTCCTCTAGCTTGAACGAATCCAGTTATAAGCTTATCAACTTGTTCCTTGCCTCCTCCATCCACAGGTAAAGCTCCAATGCGACCACCAAGCCATTTTTTTATTTCATTACACCAGTTCTACAATAAAATATATTCTTTTAAATATTTTTATATTATAAGAATCTAAATTATGAAAATACCTTTACTAAAGAACTAGGAGTAACAATAATGGCTTTATAAATAGTTGGAGAAGCTTCTGGACTTTGTTTCAAAAGAGTCCACATTAAGGTAATGCATTGTAAAGTTTTACCCAATCCCATTTCATCTGCCATAATGCATCCATATGAATTTTCTATACGTACTCCAGTAACACATTCATACATAAACTTCACACCCTTAAAATTAAAAAAATTAATTAAAAATTTTTTGTTTTCTTCTATTATTTGATAACAAACACTAAAATACTGTGAATATGAATAAATTAGAAATAAGTTATAATTAATCTTCTAGAAAATCTTAATAATTACCTAATAAATATTAAAAAAATATATACTTAATCAAAATTATCTACTCAGAAAAATATGATAAAAGATAATACTATGTAAAAAAAAAAAAACATACATAAATAAAAAGTAATAAAAATACAAAATAGTAAAAATTATGTATTATTTAGGAGAAAGAACTCTATGAAGAGGTTTAAGCAAATATGATGTAAAAAGACATGGGTATTCTGTAGACAATACAAAAAAAGAAAAAAATGAAGGATCAATCTTGGAGGTTCCAAAGAATAGTTAAGTAAACAAAATATAAAGGAAAAGTCAGTATTATATAGAATCAGTTCTATCGAAGCCTAGGGTCGTTAAAATGAAACAGAAATAATTTTGCATCTACTCATTGCTAAGTCAATCATATGTATAAGTAAAAGACTACAATACATTCTTTATTTCTAAATTAAGAACTGCAATTAGACTTGGATGATTATAAGCATTTGACTTTGTCTTCAGAAAAACAAAATATATGACAATATTAACCACTAAAAACCTCAAACGCCACACTTTTTTATTTATTATTAAGATCTATTGTACAAAAAAATCATGATAAATAAAATTAAGAGATTCTAAGAAACATGAGACAAACTTATTAATAGAGAAAAAAATAAAAATAAACGAACTTCTCTTTGATGTGGTCTAAGTATTTTTGATAAAGCTGGATCAACAACAACATGCACAAGTATTTTATTCCTAAAAATAAAACAATAATAATTAATCTTCCAAATATTAAATCAAATCATAGGGAGGTACCATACTTATCCATTTTTAAAATATCATGAGCACTAATTTGTGGAGGAATATATAAAATAAGGGCGTCAGGATCAGTAGGGTCATGTAAAGGGCGACGGATACCATCACGACGAACACCTAAAGCTCTACTAAAACTGCTACCCGTCCAATTTGCTATGGGTACTTTAAAAGGCTTTGACAATATATTTCTTATATTTTGCTCCTAAAAATATTTTAATAATGTATTAATTTAAATTATTCACTACATTACTTATTAACTTACATAAATAGAAAGTGTTTTAGGAAAAATTGGAGATTTTTCATCTTCTTTTAAATTATTTTCAGAATTTGGTGATTCACCATTATACTTCATACAAACCCTTTTAGATTGATTTGAATTACTTAAAGGCCGTTTATTAACTTGACTTGGTGCTAAACTTCGACGCTAAATAAATCAAATTAAATTGTGTTAAACACTTTTATACTTAATGATAAAAAGTAAATTACATTTCATACACTATAAGTTTTTATAATAATTATTGACTATGTAATAAAAACACCAATTTTACCCAGTAGATATTTACTAAATGTAGTTTGTATAATAATTTAAAATTTTTTAGGGGATATCTATAAAAACCTATAAACTTCTCCTACATGGATTTTGATCGAGGTTTTTCACTTGGGATTTTAATTTGGTAGCATGAAAAACATTGGGTTATGTAGGAATGGTAACAGTTTCTTTTCTTAAGAATTATGTACTTAAAAATAAATCTAGGATTGTACATTTAGACTTATTTAAAGTTAAAATCTAGTGAAATGTAAAATCTCATATTGTATGCAAAAAACATTAATCATTGTTATAGTCTTACCTAGAACAATAATAAATATTATATTAAGTTTTATTAAAACTTTCGCTTTTGTAATGTATTTAATGGGGCCAGGATTCAAATTGGCAAAAATGGGCAATAGGGACTTTAATCCATATATCATTCACAGCGTTTCATATAACTACTAGGTATTAATTATAATTAGGTATATATATTATGAGGTGTTGTAAGTGAACAATTTTTTCACCAACTATTCATGTGCTGTAAAAATGTATAAACTTGTAAATTACTTACTTATTGTTTTAAATAAAAGATTATAATTATTTTTTAATAAAAAAAAAAAAAAAATTAAAAAAATTAATTTATAAGTCTATATTAATGTATAATTTATATTTAATATAATTTTATTTTGCTGGTATAAAACTGTTTAATACCAAGTGACATAAACTAAATTGCAAATCAATTTTTTTAACTATTTTACTGTTTATGATTTTTGTATGAATTTTTTTAACAAACAGCTGAGCGTTACAGAACATTTTTTAAAGACATGTTAAAAGGGACACTTTATAAGCACTATGAGAGATAAAAAAAACTTGGTCTCCTTGCATTCCTTCATTTTAAGCCATGAATGAGGTAAATTTATTCATTATATGTCCATTGGGTACAGTCATATTTTCCCAATAGCTGAATTTATATACACATACATATACATACATATATAATTATATACTAACTTTGTGTAATAAATTGTGTAATTTTAATACTTACCATAGTTAGTTTTGATTGAATTTTGACTTATTATAAAAAAAATATGAACTTCATCGAGTTTATGTACTTAATTTTTTGAATTTATTAAAACAATAAACATTAGGTAATAATCTTATATTATATTATTTAACTTATTATTAATAGAAATTGGAACCTGAAACACATAGATTAAAACCTAAATAAAAAAAATAACAAACATTTCTAAAATATGTAAATAAACTAATTATTTCTACAACATAGTTGTATATAAACAAAAAAAACATACTTCAGTAAAATAAAATATGTTTTACATTATATTAATTAATTTATAATAAATATTATAGTAATAACATACATTAGTATAAAATAAATTTAAAATTAAAATTAAATAACTTACAAATATATAAGTATATTGATTCACTTTGATGACAATGATTCACTTAAAAGATTTGAATGTTGGGTGAATTGCATACATAAAATCAAATCTATTAAAATAAATAGTTAAAAGTTGTTGTCAAAGTTATTAGACAAAATAATAATTATGAACATTAGCAATATTCATTATCTTATAATTATAAAGAATGGCTGATAATAATATTTTATATTTCCCGCGCATCCACTCTGTTTATCACAATGCATGATAATACATAAGATAAGACCCACAGACCAATTCTTCAAAGGAAAAAATTTTTTGTGTCCGATATAATATTGCCTACATTTAGCCCCTTCATTGCAGTTCTCAAAATGTGATAACATTGATTTAACGATAACATAATTTTTATTATAATAGTTTTATTTATTGTTAAATTTAAATTAAAATAGTTAAATAAATTAAGTAATACACAATTCGAAAAAAAAACACAATACTCACTAACGATCGTAATTTAAAAGGTACAATTCAAAAGTAATAAAATCTTTGCACCATGTACGGCAATTATTGATCAATAATCATTTTCAGGATTGCTCCTGTGCAAAGTATCCTTGATGAGGTAATATAGCCATTAGAAAATAGTGGTGTATGAAGTTTGGGTTGAAACAAAAAAAAAATCCAAGTTCTGAAAAGAAACGTTAAAATAAATAAAAAAAAATAGATAGATTAATTTAAATTGAATAATATTTTATAATTATGAAAGCAATTCATTAAGGGTTTATTATTATTAGTTCATTTGAACAACTTGGAATAAAAATTTTTGTATAGTAATACAACAAATTATTATTATATTTGTATAATAATTGTATTGACGATAAAAATAACTCATTGTAAATTATTTAAATATAACTAATTAATTAAACAATAATAATAATACTAAATAAAATAAACAATAATAATTAATCAATCACTCGCTCGATATAATTTCTGAAAAAGTGATCAATCCGTTGAAATACCGGGTTTTCGCACGGTTTTGCGTTTCAAACGAAATACGATTCATTCGGACGGTGTCACTATACGTGAAAACAAGAATATGAGTTCTCCCGAACGACCACAATTTGTTCAAGTTTAATCGAGAAAACATGATCGTGAAGCGAATTATTACATCTTATGACGACATCGGCAACATTTGTTCGATCGAGATGACGATCAATTGTAAACGAACTATACTTGTGTCAGTTTATATCTCTCCGAATACACCATTTGAAAGAATTTATCGTCTTAAATCTAATGACGTACAGTGCTAAATTAAAAAGAATATTCGAAGTGCTCGAAAAGTATAATAATCACGATTTACTCATGCTTGTTGGCGGAGACTTACATTTAGATTTACGAGAATCACACGGAACGGAATTTATCGAAAAATTATGTGTACCGAACTAGGATTACAATTAAGTAACGATCTCGCAACAAAAAAACAATCTCGCGCAATTCGACTTGTATCAACGCCGTATTTTATCGACACATCGAGCAGCTTGAAACGCATGAGTACGTTTCGTATTTCAGTACACTCCGTCCTTTATTATCAATCACTAAAAGTGTTGTAAATTACGATTCTGTCGTTTAAATTAAATTCAAAAAAATTTATATTCAATTAATAATTATCATGCGGTCATTGATACTTGTTTATTTTTTACACAAGTTAAAAAAGTTATCTACAATTTAATTTTCGTCTCCTTGTATCTAATAACTTATAATCGACGTCGACATTCTTATGTTAACTATATTCAAGTAAAAACAAGACACATATATGTACCGATGTATCTGCATGTAGCGTAGATACTCTTTGAATTTTTATTATAAACGAGACAAAATTGTTTATCTGTCGTTAGCCATTAACCGTGTCACCCTCACGACATAATAATAAACCAAAATGGTTATGGATCCAATCTCAGCGCTCACTAACCGGCACCTGGAGTTTTGCCCTGGAATCTCATTGAAATTAAAATCGAAGGGTAGTGCAGATTACTATCACATTGACGACGGCGACAACAACGAATACTGCGAACGCGACCACCATCATTACTGCGGTAAAAACGACCACAGACAATGATCTTTGCTACGACTGCGGCAACACGGTTACGGCGACGAAGACAACAACGTTGACTATCTGTCACCTAATTCCCACCTATTTCCGATTATTTGATCGACAAGGTTCCGCGTCGGCATACTAACGAAAACTTTATTGAGTTATTCCGATTATTGGCAAAGATTAATGCCCTTGCATAGTTGTAAATATAATAACCAGCCCCACTGTATTCTCGGAACCTGATCAGCCGCTTATTTGAACCTGTTGATCAGGACTCCACAGATATAGAGAGTATACCCCATGATCGCAACGTGTAGTATTAGAATAAAAACAATGTAGTCGTGAGCGAAGGTAGTTGACACTGGTTGTCCACTTTAATCTAAATCGACTTCTCGATCACATACTTATTGCTAAAATTTCTTATACTCAAAGAAATAAAGAAAATCAATTCCCGGTTACATTACTTATGTATCGTAAGAAAGTTAAGATTTTATACTACTAAATATATTTTGAATAAATATAGTATTAATTAATAATCAAATGAATGTAATTAGGTACATAAAATTAATTAAAAAATTTTAAATTATTTAAAGAAATATAAAAAATTATCATACATATATATATATATAATATTAAAAATGAAAATTTAATAATGGAAAAAAAAATGAAAAATTCTAGTTCTGAAAAGAAACATAACATATTTATTAAGATTTTATAACTATTAGTTAATATTAGTCATACGATATAAAAGATATAAAATATTTTATGTCAATTAAATGAATTTTTATTCCATTAAATCATTTAATGCATAAAATTCAACAAATATTAT